GGACTAAATAACACATCTAACCTCTTTTCTCTTTTTACTGTAAAAGCCTTTTTTTGTACCAGTGAAATCATAACTTTTAGAGAAACAAAGTTTTACTTTGACTTTAAATTGCAGTGCTCACTTTTATTCTTGTTAGATAGAGGTCATATCCCATTACATGCAAACATCAGAATAATATAGAATATGATAGATACTGAAATTCTCGGTAATAGCCATTCATTTGATAACTCTGGAATCCTTCCAAAGAGAATTTGTAGCAAAATAATTGATTTGTTTATGAAGAGAAAATAACTTTCCTATGTTTAATGAGCAATTTTGTTAGATTCTAAATATTCAAGGTGTTAATGATTTTTCTCCATTATTCAAAAGCATTGTACAAGTTAAATGGAATAAATTATCATGACTATATTGAGTTAAATTTGCTAAAATATATAAAGTGGTAAATTATCCCTTTTTTTAGGATATAGAATTCTTGAAGTTTCTACATAATAGCCTAAGCGAGGGTGACTATACATCTTTAAGTATATTTTATTGATTATGCTATTATAGTTGTCCCAGTTTTTTCCCCTTTGCCCCCCTCCACCCAGTGCCCCCTTTCCCTCCAGCAGTCCCCCCTTTGTTCATGTCCATGGGCCGTGCATGTAAGCTCTTTGGCTTTTCCATTTCCTATACTATTCTTAACACTCCTGTCTATTTTGTTCCTACCAATTACGCTTCTCAATCCCTGTACCTTTTCCCCCCATTCTCTCCCGTACCCCTCCCAGATGATAACCCTCCAGATGAAATCCATACCTACGATTCTGTTCCTGTTCTGGTGGTTGCTAAGATTTTTTGTTTTGGGGTTGTTGTTTTTGTTTTTTTTTTAGCTTCAGTTGTTGATAGTTGTGAATTTGTTGCTTTTTTAATGTTCATAGTTTTGATCTTTTTCTTAAATAAGTCCCTTTAACATTTCATGTAATAATGGCTTGGTGGTGATGAACTCCTTTAGCTTTACCTTGTCTGGGAAGCACTTTATCTGCCCTTCCGCTCTGAATGATAGCTTTGCTGGACAGAGTTATCTAGGTTGTAGGTCTCTGCTTTTCAGCACTTTGAATACTTCTTGCTAGTACCTTTTCAGAAATCAGCTGACAGCCTTATGGGAACTCCATTTTAGGTAACTCTCTGCTTTTTTCTTGATGCTTTTAAGTTTCTCTCTTTATCTTAACCTCTGGATGTGTCTTGATATGGTCCTCTTTGGGTCTAACTTGTTTGAGATTCTAGTGCTTCCTGGACTTAATGTCTATTATTTCCTTCACCAAATTAGGTTTTCTTTCATTATTTTTTTGACTAAGTTTTCAGTTTCTTGTTCTTCCTCTTCTGGCATCCCTATGATTTGGATGTTGGCACTTCTGGAGATGTCCCAGAGTCTTCTTATACTTTTAATTCTTGTTTCTTCTTACTATTCTGATTGAATGTTTATTCCTTACATTCCAAATCATTGATTTGAATCCCAGCTTCCTTCCCTTCTCTGTTGGTTCCTTATAGATTTTTTTTTTTTCACCTAGTGTAACCTTCATTTCTTCCTTTATGTTGATGTCATATTCAATGAGATCTTTGAGCATCTGATCACCAGTGTTTTGAACTTTGCATATGATAGGTTGGCTATCTCCATTCTGTTTAGTTCTTTTTGGGGGTTTTGTTCTTTCATTTGGGCCATATTTCTTTGTCTCCTCAATTTGGCTGCCTCCCTGTGCTTCTGTGTATCAGGTAGAGCTGCTTTGATGCCTCATCTTAGTAGCGTAGCCTAATGCAGAAAAGGCACCTATAAATTATGTGGGATGGAGCCTTAGGTAATCACCAGGGTGAGGCACCCTGCTTCATCTCTTTGTGGCTGTGTGTGGGAGTACAGAGGGGACTCAGAGAGGGGACTGTGCCGCTGCTTGGCTTCTGGAAGTTTGCCCAGCGTGTACCCCATTTCCAGTCATTTCACCCACTCCCTGTATGTGACTGGTGCCCTTCCAGCTGTTGTCTTGGTGCAGAATCCTGGGGTACAGGGTGGGGTTCTGTACATTCTAATTCCGTGTGGGCCCTTTGAGTTTCCTGAAAATCTGGCAATTTATTCCACCACCCCAACACCCACTGATTTTTATAGCCAGAAGTTACAGAAATTTATCGTCCAGGCACTGGAGCCCTGGGCAGTGTGGTCTGGTCTGGGGCTGGGATCCCTTCACTCACAAGGTATCCCTCCCAAATTTTTATCCGCCCCATGTGAATGCGGGACCACCCCTGCCCGTTCCTCCACCAAAGCCTCTCCACGCCACACTGTGTCTCCTCACCTCTCCACGTCGTCACCCCGCCTACATGTCTGGATGAATGTGGCTTCTTTAAATCCTTGGTTGTCGGAATTCCAAGTTTAGGAAGTGGTGGTTGTATTGCCTTTATATACCTGCTTACCAGAATGGAAGCCATTAGTGGGAAACCTTGGCAAGCAAGGATCTAGATCTGTGCATTTCCCCGCAAAACCCTTGTTGTAATTGTTCAAAAATTTGGGAACTTTGAAATAAACTTGAAATAAAAGGGGAAAGTAATGTAATATAATTACTTTATATACTTAGTCTTTTCCTAAATTTTATAAACTTAGAGCCAGTAAGCTGTATGTTCACAGAGTGATGAGCCTAGCTACCACAGAAGTCTCCAAATGCCTTTTCTTTATAATTACTGCTTTGTACAATTTCAGTCATCTTCATAATGTATTGCCGAGTTATTTTGTGTTCACAATCTATGATTGTGGAAGACTTTTTTTCCCCCTCAATATTGCACATGTTTTTCACATTCTTTAGAGAACAAAAAAAAGTTGGGAACATATTCTAGAAGGTGTTTGTCTATTGTATTCTTTACAGAAAGTACACTAATTCTAACAGATTTTTTAATTGTTAGAGCCCAACACTGGACCAAATATCTTTTGATAAAATACTACTTATTTTCCAAAGGAGGCTTATCTGGTTTTTACATAGAAATTACTAAAAATCATCAAATTCATTTATAGAGAAAGTCATGTATATAAAAGGTTATTTTTTAAATGTTTGTTAGAGGTGTTTTTCTTTTCTACCTCTATAGTTTCTTGTTAAACTGGCTGAAAACTAACATGCCAATAATTTACCAAAGTACTTACAAATAAACCAAAGACAAACAACTCGCTATCCCTGTAAACACACAAGCAAAGACCTAAATGCTCCAGGTCCAGAGCCACCCATAGGAAGGACACACACAAACCCCCGCCACACTCCCCACGTTCCCTCGGGGCTGCACGGGAGCAGCACCCCTGCCTGCTGCCCGGGCCTCGGCACTGACCTGTAGAGCTTCCCAAGGTACTTTACTTTCTGGAATGATTGAACCAAGTATCTTTACTGAGACTGTATTAAAATTATAATGTAGTATATGTAACAAATTCTACCAGTAGTCATACTAAGCAGCTTCACAGGAAAAGTCATCCAACAAGAATTATCTATTGGCCAATAACACTTTCTCCTTCACACCTAGTTTATTTTTAACCTTTAGTTTATATGTATAACTTTAAAGAGGGACTTAAAATTCTATTCTTAGCCTTGTTAGTAATACTAGCGGTGACCAGATAACAACCTGCAGTAGGATTAGGGAATACTCAGGCTTAAGATTCCCAGTCAGGATTTTATTACAGCACAATACAGTTTAATGTTCCCTCTCATTCATTCTACTCCACTTTGAAACGGAAAAATGTGGGTATAAAGACAAATACACACTTTTTTAACTGAAAAGTAATACAGATGTGCTGAGAACGAACTTTCATCTAATAGTGATCTCTATGTTGCCAAAATATTTGAAAGTTATAGTACTAAAGATACCTTGTTGCCAGTAAAAGCATACACCAAGATTTCTGGAACAGATAAAATTATTGAATGTTCTTCTTTGTGCTTTCTTCCCTTTTCAGGCAAAAAGGCTAATTTTGACCCTTGAATATTTTGGGATTTCTAAAAGTTGTCACCCTTGTTTTAAAATTACTAAATGAAATTAAATACACATTTGATAGTATTACTGTAAAAATAGGCTTTTCACTATTTTCTTTAGGGTAACAAGACTGCCCCCGACTGAGCAAGGCAGGCAGCCGCCATCAGCGGCCATCCGCACCATCAGCACCTTCTTCACTTATCCGCGGTTTCATTTAATGCAAAACAAATTCTATTAATAGTCTTTATTCCATGTGGAAAAGTACAGTAGTTGTGCAAAAACAAAACTACATAACAAAAGAGTTAAGACTCACAAATATTAAAGAAAACAAACAATAAATAAGCCATAGTAGTTATAGCAGAACTCAAGAAAAGCCTATAAAAAAAAAGACAAAGCTGTACAAAACACATCAAGAACAAATGTTGAAGAATAACACCAGAGAATTCTATTCGTACAAAACTATAGTGATGCTCACAGGAACTTCATTACAACTATTCATTTTTAAAACATTCTGTAAATATAGACCTTCCTTCTCCCCAACTCTAGAAAATAAACTTCACATCCCAACATATAAAACAAATACATTCCCTCCTTTCTCAAACTAGCATTTTAACATCCTTCAATAGCACACCATTTTCATATAAAAATACCTTTAAGCCAAGGTTCATTCCTGTACCTTATCTTTACAAATGAATAATACATCAGTTTGGATTTAAGTAGCACCTCAAAGGTGTTCATATAAATGAAATAAAGTGCCGTTACTGGTACACTGTTAACATGCCATAATAATATATTGTTCAGTGCAATAACCAGTATGGATGAAGTTTACAAAGAACATGCAAATATGTAACTTTTTTTTTTAAGATTAACTACTTGAAATAGTTATATTTACAAGTCTGAATACACCTTGGCTATTTAATATGTACAACATGTGACTATAAAGTAGTGATTGTATAATAAAAAAAAAAGCAACCAATGAACCAGACCTTAAGTATCCAAATTAAATACTGTCCTTAAAGGACCCTGGAAGGCTCGTTCCAGGACCGCTATCGCTGTTAAAAGCAATCTGTGAACCAGCTGAGCGCTAATTTACATATCACCAAGAACACTATATTCTCAGTGTTACAGCCCAAATCCAGCCTGACCACCAGTCATGATTCCAAATGGCTTATACTGCTTCCAAAGAGTGAAACACCTTGTAATAGGAATATAATTCCAAAAAAGTGCTATAAAAATATGTTTAATGAGAATCATAACATGGAAATAAGTGCTTAATCCTCTTCAGGGCATTCCTATAAAGAAAACAATACTTGGATATTCTCATATTTTGCTTAAAAAGTCAACAATGTAACATTTATAGTCACATAGTCAGGTAGAAATTACTTGGGTCTTAATTTTACCTATGTATGTAAATTGGGATTTGACTCAACGGAACCATAACTTGAAAATTCCATCTTTTCCAGACTATCTCATCTGGCTATTTAGTCAGGAGTTATTCCTATCACTAGACATTTATATTCTCTAAGAAATATTATGATTTTACCACATAGCAAAGACTAGGAGAAAAGTGATAAAAACCAAATAATTTCATAAGAGAAAAAGCATTAGTTAACGTCTTCCTGGGTGTCTTAAGTTTCTAACTTAATAGACATAACTAATAGTTTTCAATTCTGGTTAGCATTCTTATGGTGACTTCTGATATTTATCAAAAGAAATTTTATCCCACATTTTAAATAAATCAATGGTATCTGATCCACCTCTAAAGAAAAAGGAAAGGAATATGGCTAAAAAGTAATTTTTCTCAAAAAAATCATTTAATTACCACCAAGAGCCAACACACTGTTTCAGATTCCACCAGCGGGTCCCTCTTGGCTTACACGTTTGATTCTATGAATGATCGCTTTGGTTTTGCCGAAGGCAGGTGGCCCCGGTGGGCTTCATTACCGATGTGAGGCTGCTGTTTAGAGATACTTTCCTGATACAGATGAGAAACGTTCTTGGTTATCCTGTTCTCTGGACAGTGGGCTGGGATTTGGCACTTTCTTTCCTCTAGCTCTTTCACCTGTGCCCCATTGTGGACACTTCCGCCCAGGGTTGCAACAGAACAGGTCTTTCCTTGGCTACTGTATCCCGCTGCTTGTTTGAGAGAGGGCTTCTCCGAGTTCGAGGACGGCAGGCCCACTGCAGAAGATGTGTTTGTCAGTAGCCCCTCCGGCACCGGGCAGTGCCAGGTGCGGCCCTGGGGGTGGTTCTGCTGCTGGAACCTCGCAGTCTTATCCATGATGCCCATGAACGGAGTGTTGCGTGGCCTGTGCTCAGCTGTGCCGCTCTGAGCCTGGTTAACAGCCTTGTCTTTAATTCGAGCATCTGGTCCCTGGCCCTTGAAGCCATCGGAAAAGCTACTGCTTGAAGTCAAACTACTGGTCGAACTTGATACCTTTATGCTGCTGGATGGAGAACCAGAAGAGCCTGAGCTGGTGAGGGAGGCTGGGTGACGCCCGTCGCCGCAGCTCACTGGCCCACCTTGGTTTAGTGGAGCTGCGTCCACGGCCATGGAGGCGTGAGCCAGAAGCCGCTCTGCCGTCTTTATCTTGCTCGGTAAAGGATATGCAGTGCCGCCCTCACCGTGCTGCAGCTGGGCGCCGTGGCTGGGGCCCAGCCGGTCTCCAAACCGGCCCGAGCCCCCCACAGTGAAAGCGCCTGCTCCCTCCGGAGGCTGGTTCCTGCCGCCAGCAGGAGCTGTTCTGCCTGGCATGGGACTCGGGGGAGGATTCGGAGAAGGGACCTGAATTTTTGTGCTACCGCTTCTCACGCCGGCCTGTCCAGAACCGAGATGCTGGCTGGTCTTCACTATCTGTGCCTGCTTGGTGGGCTGCATCATCGGCCCTGGCTGTGCTACAGGCTCCCGCAGGGGCTTGGAGACGGCTGGCCTGTTCGGTGGCGAGACTGGCCTTATCTTGGACTGCAACCCTTCTTGAAGGTTCCGGATATACGGGGAAGGGACCGATGAGGATGGCTGGGACCTGGGAGTCAGGGAAACGGATTCTTCCTGTGGGGAAGTTTCTTCTTCTTCAGCCTCCTCAAGACGAAAGTGGTCATTTAGTCCAGGGGTGGGGGCTTCCTCTTCGTTTTCTGAGTCGTTGGGTGGGGCCGCGGGTGGGCACTGCTGTTTTTGCTGCTGGCTCCTCTGGAGTTGCTTGCATTCCTCTTCCACGCGGGCCAGAAGCCTCTTGATCTCCTGATTGGTGGGGCACAGTTTCACAGCTTCTCGCAAGTCGGCCAGAGCTGCCGCAAACTGCCTTTATATGAAAGGGGAAGATACAATTACAAGCCATGTAAACACGTGTTCTGAATGTAACTATTCATAAAATATCGGCGCTAAAGGGAAAGAGAAGGTAGGTGAGTGAGTTTTGAACATTTAACTCTGGTGGACAGGACCCATTGAACTCGCCTACAGATACTGCGTGGGACGGCTGAACTCAAACCCAGCTCGGTGGATTCCAGGGCCCTCCTGTCTCTCTGAAGACCCCCGGGCTGGGACTGAGAACAGGCGTAGGTCAGTGGGTGTCAGGATCCTCTTCAAGTTATCTTCACCCTCCCCTTCCCTCATGCCTACCTCTAATTCAAAAGTCTTGTATGCCTCCTCCTCACTTCCCCAACACCTCACCTTCATGTCTCTAGTTGGCAGTTCCACGGACAATATGAACTAATCTAGAAGTTTCATGTGGCCGTAAGTGTCAACTGGGGTGGAGGGGAAGAACAGTCATTCAGATGTCAGGAGAAAAATCAAAGTTTAGCCATTGCTAATAATATCCACTACTGTGTCTCTTGGAAGCTACCAATTTCGTGTGAAAAGAGGCGAGAGGCATCTGAGCACTGCTTATGAGCCAGAAGCCCCAAAGTCACCCAGCGTCTTGACACCACAGAAGCACAAAGCGTTTCTAGTCACGCATCTCACCCCACCCGGGCATACCTGCTATTTCTCTTCGCTCGTGCCCTGGCATAAAAGGCTTCATAGGACTTCGGTTTCAATTCGAGAGCCTTGGTCGCAAATTCTTCTGCCATGCCAAAGTCCTGGTGTCAATAGTTAAAACACATGAGTCAGAAGAAGCACTGAAACAATTACAACTTTTTAACAGGAGTCTTGCTCTAAAGGTTAGCAGAGAATTAGGACATAAGAGGAGACAGGGGAAGGGCTAGGTAAGTCTGTTTTTCTGTTCAGTTTTAAAGTTAGGGGATAGTTAAAGCTTATCAGCATTCTAAAAGAACCCAGTAGAGAAGCAGCAGTAGATTGCTGGGGGGATGGGGATGGGGATGAGGAAGGAGCAGCAGTGCCCCGGAGGCTGCAGCAGGCGGGCCCCGCCCAGCACCGGAGGGCCGGCCTCGGGGAGCGCAGACGCCCCCTCCACTCCGGCAGGGGCAGCCTGTGTGGGCGCGGGCGCGGGCGCGGGCGCGGGCGTGGGCAGGCCAATAGCTTTGGTGGTGGGAGGGTGAAGTTAAAAAATAAATAGAAGAAAGAAGTACTGAAACAAACCTAATAGTTATGTTACAAATTAACTGAGTTAGCTACTATTTATTACAAAGTAAAGAGTTACTGGCATAACTCCTCAGCAAATATAATAAGCCCTATGCAGACTGACACCTTTGAGTTGAACTTGACCACGTCCTTTCATTTTAAATCTGGCGATGGGCAATGTTGGCAACATACAGGTGGGGAGGGTGGGCGAGCGGCTTGCAGTGAAGCCGAGGAAGCTATACCCAAGTGCGCCCTCTCAACATCTTGAGAGGTGGGCGGTGATAGCGATCAAACGGTGGCCATCCAAGAGAACCAGCAGGTTCACAGAAATGTGCACACGGACCTGACAGGAGGTCCCCCGATGTGGGCTATGGCAGGCCTGGCCTTCACCTCGGTGAAAACATCCCATTGCTAAAGGGCTGGAATAAGGGGGCTTAGCTTACATTGGTTTTCCTTCGGCAGCGAGACAGATTGAGATAGAGGGAAACCCTGAGTTCGTTGAATGGTCTCATGTCCTCTCCGAATCCTTCTCGAGGAAACTTCCTTAAGGCATACTGGTACCGCTGGGCTGCCTCTTTCATCTTCCCTTTCTAGGATCCGAAAACCACAGACATTTATCCTTCACCAGATGCTCCAAGATGAACAAGCTCCTACATCCTAAAGATCCTGGAGAGGTTCTCCCCCGGCTGCCAAAACCACAGGGCCGGCTGGAAGGCCCTGAGGCGGAAGCTCCGCAGCCAGAACCAGACCCTGGGCGGCGCGGGCACGGCCTCGCCTCACGAGGGAGGAAGGACGCTGGTTCTACAGGAGGGCAGCTGTAAATTGCCAAACTGGTAACTAGCAATCTTAACACATCAGGTTATCTTTTTAAATACAGTTTTGAAAACCTTTTCATGAATGCTTTCTCATTTTGCATCTCATTGATATCTCATAGTGATATTTTAATGCTAAACGTAATAGAAATCAGATGAAAACATAATACAATTCCTAAGGCAAGCAGAGTCTTGTGGATAAACCCAGAGCTTGCTGTAGAATAATGATGTTTTCTTTTAAAAGGAACGAAAGCATGGGTTTTAAAAATCAGAACAGCACTGCATGTCCTTTTCAAGGCCACAGAAATCCATGTAATGTGCTCAGTCAGTTCCGTCACGCAGCAGGGATGACGCCTGTTGAAAATGGCTTGGTGTTTCTAACCTAATTGCCTACCAAAACTCACATTAAAACCACTTCAAAGCTGCAACAATACACACTCTGAACTCAATTTCAAACTGATTCCAAGCCAGGAACCCTGCTGGGCCACGCTATAGGCCTATTTATTTATTATTTTAAAAAGAAAAGGGGAAAACTAAACCATAGCAAGTGCAGCAGCCTCATGGTAAAAAGGATTAAAATGGTCATAATCTAGGTTTTTGTTCTTAGAATCTTTTAATTCTGTCTAATCACTGACAAGGGAAGAACAGTGATCTATGTAAAGTAAATGGCCTAAGCTGCTGTTTAGACCAGGGAAGTTGGCAAAACGCAGCCCGTGGGCCCAGCGTGGCCCGCCACCTACGTGCACTAATGCAGTCTGACCGGGACGCAGCCGCGCCGGCTTGCAGGTCTGCTGTCTGTGGCTGCGTCGGCACCGCAGCGCCAAAGCTGGCGAGTAACAGGAACCACAGAGAAAAGCCCAAAATAGTTACTCTCTGGCCCTTTCTCGTACAAGTTTGCTTTTGTTCTAAACTGATGTCTTATTTTCGAAAATTTACTTTACAGTCAAGTTTATTCATGTGTAAATCTAATATTTCCATTTCTAAGAGAAAATGGAAAAAAAATTCAGCCTCCTGAGTAACTATTATATATCACTTAATGTCTTAAGTAAAAACATCTGCAGAAACAGTTTCGCATTCTAGAAGCTTACAGATACTAAAAATAATCAAGGCTCAGGAGACTTAATGATTCTTTTCTTCTGAAACTGTCTCTGGAATGTTCCTCTCCCATGCACCTCACGACTCCGTGCTCTGACCAACCTCCTGTGTGATGTGCTTCTTAAATTAGAAGCAAGTCTGTCTTCCCACCAAAGCTTCAGGCCCTAAGTCATAGTTAGAGCCACAGGGAATCGCTCGGAAATAATGGCTCTGGAAGACAACGAGAAGTGCTTTCTGCCTTGAAGATTCTGCCGTTAGGATATTAAAGCCTGGGCGTAAGGCCAGGTCAGCATCTCACGCAACTTCTATTAAAGCCACGCTGCGTGGATTCTGTAGGGGGCACAGCTACATCCATTATACACCAAACTGAGAGGCCGCTCGCGGGCCATTACAACATCATGGAAAAGGGCAAAACCACTTACTTTGTACATCATGTTTCCTTCCTCCATCAATTTCTGCAAAAGTATAATCAAAATATCAGGTTTGGAAGTAGCCATCGCCCAAGCAGCATTTCCTGCAAAATAAACACACGTTCAGAGGGACTCCGGCGCCGCGGAGGAACAGTGCTCAGCAGCCCCCCGGCCCCCACCCCGCCCCGCGGCTGGGACGCGCACAGCAGGGACCCAGCTGCAGAGGACCCTCGCCCACCGGTCCTGCTGGCCTCCTCCAGGCAGCAGGGCCCCGGGGAGCAGCCTTCCCTTCTGATCTTTGTGAGGCTGAACTAAGCACTCAGGGGGAAACGGTACCCGGCACAAAGTGCTGTTGTTCTGGGGAAAAAGGACTGGGAAACTAATGCATCGGAGCAGCAGCTATGGCCTATCCCCCTCTCTGATGGGCATTTGGGAATAAATCAATTAAATGAGGCTTCAGAATGGGCTCCTTAGGTCCCTGCTGTGCCCGGGACCGCAGCAGCGAAGGTGTTCTTACTCCTGCACTCCGCGCACTGTCTCCCGTTCCGTCTACTCCCAGGCTCCTCGGCTCGGCTCTCGCTCTTCCGCCCTCCTCGCACCGCTCCTGCTCTCGGCTGCCCCGGCCCACGGCCCGCCCGGCCCACGGCCCCGCCACGGCCCTCCCGCCATCCCCCTTCTAAACGCGTGCGGTGCGTCGCGCTCCAAGAGCACCGACCAGAGGCCGGCCTGCTCAGGAGCAAACCGGGGCTGTGACCGGAGGGAAGCTCTGTAGCTCCTCTGTGCTCTGGCTTCCTCCCCGGTACCATGAGGGCGTTGTCACCACCTCCTTAGACGGTAGGTGAGAGTATTAAAACAGTGAAAACAGACACGGCCTAGAGAAGTTCCCGATCCGGAGAACTGCTTAGTCATTTCCGCTAATACCATTTATCTTCATCACAGCCCCCCCCCCGCAGACCTGCTGTTGGCCGAAGTCCCGCCCTGTCAGACCGAAACAGGGACCTTCTGCTTGTCTCCCCGCACGTTCTGAGGGCCGTCCTGTTCCAACCAGCCACACACACGGGCTTGCCCTGCTCGATCTCCCCGACCTTGTCTCCGGTCAATCACACCGACGTCCCCTGCGCTGGGGCCGCCATCACGCGCCCAACCAGCCGCGCTTACTCTGCAGCAGCGGCCCCGGACTCGGCTGTCACCAGGACGGCTGTCACCAGGACGGCTGTCACCAGGACGCCCGTGAGCTCCCCCGCGCACGCCCGACCCCCGAGGCCACGGGAACCGCCCGGGCGGGACTCCTGGGCATCCTGAACACCCCGCAATCCTAGGCTGTCCTTCAGGGCTGGCCTCTGCTCCCTACCCACGCTGGCAATAAGAGTAGGAGCTGTTTAAACAGTTTAGGTGCCTGTGATTAAATAAGCATTAGAAGAGAAGGAGAAAAAAAATCTCCAGACATATGGCTTCTTAACCTGGGTGCAGGTAAATATTTATGGTCCCCGATATGCTCCAAAATCTGAAGCTAACCTCCCTCTATAGAACTGAGATGTTTACTGACCTAATTTGGCTCCTTTTCTCAGCAGTGCAATCACTACAGATGTGTTTCGACAGCCAATGGCTCTGTCCAGGGGGCGCATGCCACTATGGTCCACGTGCTCAATCACGGCCCCCTTCTCAACCAGGTACAGCACCTGCGCGGGAAGAGAGGCGTGAGCAGCGGCTCCCGGCCGGAGCCCGTCACTGGCCCACCTACAGTGCGCTGGTGTGGGGGCTTTTCTTGATTTTTGGTGCTTCTGGCCATGAGGGATCCTAGAATGTAAGTGAAGTTGACAGAAGACAGAAAAAAGGAGCTGCCATCCACATCTAAAACCCGCTCTGTTAAAGGGCATTTGATATCAGCAATGAGGCTCCCAGGAGGAGACGTGTTCTGCATACGCACTCATATGTCACAGGTGGGTAAATGCACACGTCCTCATCTGTCTGCCTCACCCCACCTCCCCACCCCAGAGACGAGACACAGTCACCTTTCCATCTCCAGTCACTTGGGAGCCACCCCTGCACCAGCTCCGGCAGGCGGCGGCGGCAGGCACTGCGGAAACACGGAGGCCCAGCCAGCCGCGCCGGCCGGCGGCCGGGGCCAGGGGGACCCAACTGCAGTGCCCTTCAAGGCCCGGGAGCGAGGCCGGAATCTTGGGGCTGTGAAGGTGGCAACATGGAGACCCTGGTATGGCAGCTGATGTGATTTGATAAAATAGTTGTCACAGAGAACAAGAGGAGAAACCACTTTGGCCCCTCAAAGTGATCCACTTACTGAGTAAGAAGCCTGAAGCTACTTGAGATTTTCACGTGGATCTGAAAGATCGATCCTATCAGTCCACCTGCTGTTCAAAATGACACTACAGGGATGAATACCCAGAATATATTAAAAACACCTACACCTTAAGAACAAAATCCCAAATAACCCAATTTAAAAATGGGCAAAGGATTTGAGTAGACTTTTTTTTTTTTTGCCAAAATGATATACAAATGGCCAACAAGCATATGAAAAGCTGCTCAACATCATTAATCATTTGGGAAATGCAAATCAAAACCACAATGAGCTGTCACCTTACAATGTTAGCATGGCCATTATTAAATAAATAAATAAATAAATAACATAAAAACAGAAAACAGTAAGTGTTGGAGAGGATGTGGAGAAGCAGGAACCCTGTGATCTGTTGGTGGGAATGGAAAATGGTGCGGCCACTCTGGACACAGTATAGAGATTCTTCAAAAAAAACTAAAAACAGAATTACCATATGATCCAGCAATTCCACTTCTGGGTCCATATCCAAAAGAATGTGAGTAGATCACAAAGAATTTGCAGGGTATCAATGAGAGAGTTGTATACCCATGTTCATAACAGTACTATCCACAATAGCCAAGAAGTGGAGGAAGCCTAAGTGTCCATAGATGGATGAATGGATAAAGACAATGTAGTAAATACATACAATGGACTGTTTATTCAGCCTTTACAAGGAAGGAAAGCCCATAACACGCTACAATGTGGATAAACCTTGAAGACATCATGCTAGGCGAAATAAGCCAGACACAAAAGGACAAACGCTGTATGATTCCATGTAACGAGGTACGTGGAGCAGACAAACTCAGAGATAGAAATTAGGATGGTGGTTCAGGGGCCGCGGGACGGGAGGAATGAGGAAGAGCCGTTTAATGGGTAAAGAGTTTCAGTTTTACACGATGAGAAAGCCTAGGCATCTGCTGCACAACAGTGTGTTGAACTCTTCACTTTGAAATGGCTCAGATGTAACATTTTGTGCTGAGTTATTTATCACAATTTTTTAAAAGGTGCTAGAATGCTAAATTCCTTCCCTTTTTTCCTAATGTTGATAAGTTACAGGATTTGGTAAGTAAGGTAGTATAAGCTAAAAAATAAAAGTGTAGATTCGTGAGGTTCAGCTAAAGAGCTGTTTTTGAAAATCGATATTAAGTACAGTTTACAATGTTCAGGAAGTGAAGACCATTTACCTCTAATATCACTGCCTTTTAAAAGCATCGAGGCCCAGGTATGCAGGATGGTGATGGCTTTTGCTCCAAGATCCACAGCTCTTAGCAACATAATACCTGACCCTCCAGGTAACCCTAACATTGGGCATATTAAACATTCAAAAGTGATAACTCCAAAGGGGCTGAATATTCCTCTAGGGCCCGCTGGGCACTGGAGATGTGGGTCCTGACAAAGGCATGGTTTCTACCCTGAGAAACATTCTGCAATTCTTGGTTTAGTAAGGTCTTACCCCTCTCACCGCAGTTAGACTTAGGCATCGGTCAGAGAGATAAAGATAGTGCCCACAGCATTCTAGACATTGCCATACTGCTTTAAAGACAACCAGCTAATTATTTGGTTAGCAATTTCTCACACACAAACACACACACACACATGAGTTTTAAATGATCTATAAAGGAATTCTGTTTACATGGATTAATATAGGAAAATTAAAGTACACATGCATGTGTGTATATACACATTCATGTATGTGTCTATTGTACATACAGTTTGCATCATGTATTTTTAAGCTTTTAAGAGTCTATTAAAATCTTTATACTACAGTTTTGGAATAGACTGCATGTCACAGAATTAAGAAAAATAAAAACACCCTACAGCACACACGCACGCCCTGACCCCACGCAGACACAGCCTCACACGCTCTCTGGAAGCAGTCTGGGTCCTGGGTGCCCGTGTGGCACTGACCCTGCTCGCTGGGCAGGTAGAGGGGTGTGCCCGCCCGTGGTACCTACCGTCTCCGCGTCGCCGTAGAAGGCCGCCAGGTCCAGGGGAGTGCGGCCGTTCTTGTCCATCTGGTCTATCTCGGCTCCTTCCTCAACCAGAAACTGGACCACTGCCCTGTGACCTTTCAGACAGGCCCAGCTTAAGGCTGACAAGCCCTCTTTGTCCAGAGAAGAAAGGGTGGCACCTGAAAGAAAAGCCCAATCCCAGAGCATTAACTCTGAAAGACAAAGCCCAGATGCAGCAAAGCGTTGCCCCTGGGTGAACAGCTGGCCCGAGTGTGTGGCCAGCAGGTGCTAAGGAACTGGAAGCTGATTTGGCAACCTGGTCATGCCATGGCAGCTGCGTAATGGGCATGCGGGCTTCATTACCTGTTCTCTGCCCCTGTGTGTCAGTCTCAAAATTTCCATAACAAAATGCCTTTCAAAATTTGAATCAGAAAGTACTGAATGAGTCTGCTAAAGCTCTCTGTCCACCCAAAAGAAACCCCAACGAGCAGACAGTGCACTCCGCTACCTTTGGAAAGGAGAAATTCCACGGTGCTCAGGTGCCCTTCACACGCGGCCACCATGAGGGGCGTCCGGCCCTGCTTGTCGCTTAGGTTCACATCACAGCCGCGGTCCAACAGCAATCTCATGATCTGAAATAAACACTCCGAATTACAATCTTCCTGCTATACTTTATATTATGTTCTCTGTGCCCAGGCAGGATTTCCCACCTTTAAAAGCAGGAAGAGGGCTCTCTTCTTTTGAAAACCCCACTAAGTTGTGTAATCAGGTGGCCTATAACATTTTTCCATTGCATTCTTTTGAACAAAATCTTCTTCGAGGTGTATGCTTTTTAAAACATGCCCAAACCAGGCCGTCACAGGAATCTGGGTGCCAATCACACTCAAGTAATGACCGGACAGCCCCCGCGGGGCACGTGGGACAACTGAGCAGAACTAAAAGGGGGCGAGTAATGGTCACGGATCCTCACGCGGGTGCTGGAGCGACTTTCCTGCCTGCAGCAAAGGGCACAGGCCAGGGACGCGGGGCGCAGGAAAATACTCGCCCACCACACCCCGAGTCATTTTCTCTACTAAGACCCAGAGCTTGGTGGATGGCTTGATGTTCACAGCGGGCAATTCTTAGCAGAGCTTCCTGGAGAAGATTCTCAGCTCAGGGCCACGCCGCTAAAAACAGCACATGTGACGAGGCTGGGGAGCAAAACCAAGAAGCCAGAGAGGTGTCTCCTGCAACCACCGCCCCAGTGGGAGTGGCTGTACATAGGGGGTAGTTAAGACTCTCTGTGGCTTGATACTCATTTCATCGCCACAGGAGAAGGGGGTGCATCCCCGTTGCTTTCTTGTTCTTGATACACTAACGCTTTCCAAAATGCCCCATGCCTTAGGAAGCAGACCAGAAGAGGGGATTAACTGGGCCGTCATGTAGAAGCTGTAGGGCACAGAGAATGCATGGTGCACGCCGAGCTCTGGGAAATAAAAGGAGAAAGGCCGAAATCTTGGTGGGAGCACTCATCGTTCCCGCCAACAGAGCTGGACAGGCAGACGCTACACCATGACGTAAACTTGGGTCTAGAAATGTCTTCCTATAATGAACATGGTAAGATCCATTTATTTGTTTGCCGCTCGTGTGTAACCTGGTGCCTGGCATACGGTGGGTTCACGTTCACTGTTTACAAAATGAAGGAACAAAATGACTGAACTGCTGCTCTCAAGGGTCCCATGTTCCCTTGAATTAAGGACAACACACCATTCACAGTAAAAGCAGTGAATCCCAGTGCTGGACCCAAGGGAGAGACTGTCCTTTTCCGGGGAGCACAGCGGAACCACTCCTCTCTCAAGTGGGACAAATGGGCCACACGATCACACCAACAACAGGTATGTCACAGCAAGTCTTCCGTTAACTTAACGGGGGCCCCCCGCCCCATTCCCCTCCCCAGGTAACAGGGGCTCTGACCCGGCCTACATGGCCCACAGCACCACACGGCTAAACGCACGCCTCCATCCAACAGTACACATGGCACCAGCAGAAGCGAGGACACTGAAATCGGGCGCAGGGCCCAGGGGAGCTGCGTGTGGGCCCAGGCGAGATGGCGAGAGCGAGCCCCACCCCGCTCACTGCCTCTGAGGCACTCCGGGGCCCACTGCGTACCTGCCAGTGCCCTTGGCGCGCCGCACAAAACAGAGGCGGGACCCCTCTCCGGTTGGTCCGGGACACGGCGGCCCCGCGCTCCAGCAGCAGCTCGCACACCTCCAGCTTCCCTCGTCCCGCAGCAGCAGTCAGGGCTGAAGCAAAGTCACAGGAAGGACAGTCTGTTAGGACGTGGTGCTCCCAGCGGCCCCAAATTCTTCGACACTCCTGCCATTGAGAGGAAGGGCTCTACCTATCAATGCCCCTACCCCCCAAATCTGGGGGAGCTCAGTGGCCAAGAGAACAGCAAAAATGATGCCATGCCAGAGTCTGGGCCCAGGTCTTAAGAGATGGGCACCTTCTGCTTCCCCAGAACACTCATTCTTGGACTCAGGTGCTATGCCGTGAGGAAGCCCAGGCCTCCCTGTGGGGAGATCCGCTGGGGGAGGAGCCGAGGCCTGTGTGTGGCTGGCAGTCCCAGGCGAGCTCCCCGCAGCCAGCCAGCAAAAGCCGCCAACCATGCGCGCCATCCTGGAAGCGTGTCCCCAGGCTGAGTCTGTCTGCGCCAGTTGAGGCCGTGGGAGCAGAAACGAGCCTCCTTCTCTACCAGGCCCAGCCCAAACTGCAGATTCCAGAGTTCCTAAGTTTCTGTCTTGTGGTTTACTTTTTACAGCAAGAAATAAGCAGAATAGAGTGCAACACAAACACAGAGATCAGTATTATTGTCCAGCTTGGCCCCTTTCCCTAAAATCATAAATTTCTTTCAATAAGAACTAATAATTATTGAGTCAGTAAAGAGCATATGCTATCATTCCTGCCTTTATGGAGCTTAGAATCTCTGTAACAGGCCAAGATTGGAGCTTAAGGATGTCAAGAAAGAGAAATCAGCCCTGGCTGGCGTGGGTCAGTGGACTGAGTGCCAGCTTGCAAACCAAAGGGTCACCAGTTCAATTCCCAGTCAGGGCACAAGCCTGCGTTGCGGGCCAGGTCCCCAGTAGGGAGTGCATGAGAGGCAACCACACACTGATATTTCTCTCTCTCTCTCTTTCTTCCTCTCCTCCCCTCTCTCCAGAAATAAATAAATAAATAAATAAATAAATAAATAAATAAATATGTGTGTGTGTGTGTGTGTGTGTGTATGTATGTAACAAAATTTATTTTAAAAACAAAAAATGAAATCAGATTACAGAGAGCCCTGAGTGGCCAGGCGAAGCGTCCTCGGGGCAGCGAGCTGCCGGCTGGGAGCCCTGGTGCGGGGGGTGCGTCAGCCACGGGTAAACGTGGCATGAATGGAAAGAGATTACGGAGCAACGGCTCACCCAATACGCTCACACCACTGACCTGCCTCCCCGCCCCTAGTCGTGATTCCTCCTGGGAGAGGATGTTAAAAGGAGGGGTTTGGTTAGAAGAGGGGCCTCTGTTGTGTCACGTGAATCACCATCTAGAGGAAAGGACAGTAGATTCTGGGGACAATCCCAGGCCAGGCCACATGCTTTCACTGGAAAAGGGGACAGGAAGGGGCTGAGGGCGAAGGACAGAGGCACCTCGGGAGGGCACATCTCTGTTGCTGGGGAGGAAGGAGAGGTTTGAGCGTGGTGCTGTGACTCTATCCCTGCTGCCTGCCTGGGACACCTTTGTTTTTTAGAGACAGCCTCAGGCTCACCAATGCCAGCTTTCAGAACAGACCAAGTGTTTCTCCAAATCAGTGAGACATCTCGGTATGGAAACAGGAAAAACACGGAATCAGGCCTTTCACAAGGGCAACATCGGAATGCCAGGGAACTTATTATTATTCATCCAAGTAATTGAGAAGCGGCTGTGCAACGATGGGAATGCTCATTTGCCGATGGTGGGAGTGAGGAGTAGGGGACCGACCTGCTGACACTGAGTAAAGTCGAAGATGCACATACGCTACCACCCAGCACCTCGCGCCCTGGAGACAGGTGCCTGGTGGTGTGTGCCTTGGCGCGCCCCAGAGATGCGTGCAACAGCGCTCACAGCGGCCCCCAGCCGGAAGCAACCCGGACGGCCATCAGCGGCGGAATGCATCCGTACATTGTGGTACAGTCAAACAATTGAATGTCACACAGTAATGACAATAAATGCTATGCAGCTAAATGCAACACAATGGGTCTGTTTCCCAAACTCAACATTAAGTCTAAGAAACAACACACAGAAGCACACACACACGGTGACTTTGTTCAAACGCAGTGCAGAAACTGGGCACTGCTGCGGCAGCCTTAGGAGAGGCCCAGACACGGGCCCTGGCTCGGGCCCTGGCTCTCAGTACCCGCGGCCTGAGCCTGCGTCCTGCTCTCCAGGGACCTAAGACCGGGGCAGCCAAGTATTCAGGGTGCAGCTTCCCACATGCTACCCCTCTCAGGACAGACAGACTCACCTGCTCCATCTTCCCATCAGCCTGTCCATGGCTGAACCCCCAGGAGACACACACATAAAAGGAGGCAAACCTGACACCTAGGCCTGACCTATGACAGAGAGCAGTTCCTCCAGGGGACAAAGAAGTCTCTACAGCCCTTCCTGAGGGTCACAGTGCACTAGGCTGGTGACTTCACCTCTTCACATGCCACAGAGAGGCACCCGCACCTGCCTGACAGATCACCCGAGCTCTGTGTCCGTCCCGGGGGGCTCCGCACCGGGGACGGGAGGGAGGTGGGTGCTAGGGAGCGAGCACACCAGGCAGCCCTACGCCAGGGACCTAGGGACACAGAGGTCAGGCCGAGCAAGATGGGGGGAGGCGAACCCTCTCCTTCCGAGAGGGCAAGTCAGCTCAGGCCCTCCGTCCCCCTGAGGCAGGGAATGTGTGACAAGAGTGGCTTGTCATTCGCAATCTTAATAATGCTTTTATCTGTCTATTCTAAGAATTTCTTACAACCACAAGAAGAGTCACTTCCAACGACAGCCGCCATCTGGAATGACTGACTTTCTCCAGACAGTGCAACCAGGCTAAAACGCAGAAGCGAGGCGCGGGCCACTGCGGACCTCGACTGTGGGGCCGTGCCTCTGCGCAAACAGGCGCGATGCCACTGATCTCAACTCGTAAACAAATGACCAACAAATGCCAGCACCTGACTAGAATTTATATCAGTTTTCTATATTGGTGCACTGGGGTGGAGGTGGGAGGCTCTCATATCCTAAAGGCTTGAAACCCAGTGGCCAAGGTGATCCAGTCTGCACCATGACAGTTGACACTAGAGGGTCCTGGTCCCGCTGCCCTGGGCACACCCATCACAGTTCATCCCTGCTGTGCTGTTAATGCTAATGATTTCTAAATCACTGGGGCACTTTTATATACATTATCTGGATGGGCCTAAACATGCCCCCCGTGAGCAGCTCGCGGGATGGAAGCCCTGGGCAGCGAGCCACACCGCCTGGACCTGCTGCTCCTTTGCAACCTTCCTCCAGTGAGGCCGCCTCTGCCCTCTCCTCCAGCTGTAGCTGAGTATGACAGACAACACACACACATGTGACAGACAGGGACATGGCCAGCACATACATATGCAGGGCACTGTGGAAAGAAAGAAACTCGGGGCTTCCATTTGATGAGGCCTGGAGCAGCTGATGCACCATAACGTTCCATTCGCCTTTATTTGGTCAACAAGGTTCATGGGCAATATAAATGGGCCCTTCAAATCAGTGTCTGCTGCAGCTGCTACTGAATTCCTGCAAAAGCAGCACATCAGAAGTGATAGGCCTGCACTAAAAATAGGACCTGGTGCTTTAAGGAGGCGCCAGAGAAGCCAGAGGACGGAGCAGCTGACAATCGGACGGGAGTGCCACGCGGCCCACCCAGGCCTGGCGACGGGGCTGGATGCCCTCGGCCTCTTTCTTTGAGGCCTGACTCACTATGCATTTGGTGGTGAACTTCCTTCTGAGGTGAGAAAGCACAGGCTGTAAGAGTCTCAGAGCTTCTCAGGCCTGAATCGATCACGTTCTGCACACACATTCCAAATGACGCTCTCATTGGCAAATGATGCCAGTAAAAAGCAGGACCCGTGTTTTCCTCCTTCTACCAAGACTGGATGTTTTTGGCTGCATCCCCCAGGACCCCTGAGGCTAGGCTGCATCTCAAGTGTCAGCAGCCGCAGGATTTAAGGATACCATATTTGGAAATAAGTGAGACTGAAGACTAGTCAACTTACATGCTTAAACAAACAAAATCAAGACAAGACTCTGCTCTGGAATTCCAACTATTCTGCTTAAAAAGCTGACCTCTGAGCTGACAACCAGACTCTAATGAGGGTCACTGCACTTGGCCTGGTCAGATAACAGGAGAGGGGACCAGGACAGCAGGACAGTGCACCCTGGCAGTGGGGCAAGGCCTTGTCTGCTGGCCAACAAAGTTCAAAGATGAAGGAGAAAACCAAAATGAACACACGGCATTTTCTAGGACTCAAACTGCACACAATTTTTTTTTTACTTGCAAAATCCTTAACAAGATGGTGCTATGGTAATTAAATTTCCATGAAAGCATATATCTGCTTCTGATGATTTTAATTTTATAGCAATACTGTCCTCTGTCTTCAGAGCACAAATATGTTTGTCACAGCAGATATTCACTTTAAGAAAAGCCAACTGACATGCAAGTATATGAAGTTATGGAAAGCACCAGTGAAATATGGTTCTTTGTAAAATGGATCATCTGCAGGGATCTTTTACATATTAAAGTTCCCTGGGCAAAGATGTGACTTATGAAAGTACACCTGTCAACTTGCCAGGAGCACAGGCATTCCACAGACAGGGCTGTTTATAACATTTCATCGCAGATCTGTCACTCACACAGGGATGACCTGTTAACCCTCTACCCCATATTCCTCTGTCCCCAGTTTGGAGACTTAGAGAGAAGGGTGACAGGTCAGTACCCACAGAGGCAGTTCCCAGGGTCCAGATGGCAACCTTTTCATAGATTACACACGGAGGACCCAGATCACCACCAAGACCGAGGTGAGCACGTTGGCCAAACGGCACGCACTGCGGCAGCCCCTTCCCGCGGGCTGAGATGGCTGAGGATGGGCGCGGGCGCGGGCGCGGCAGCTCAGCTCTGCTCGCACGCTTGTTTTTATTTGTGCAATTTATTTACTAATATATTGGCTTTCCCCCTCACTTCTAAAAACAGGTGGGATATTTTTTAAAAACT